ACATACACACACACACACTCAACCTGCCATCATTTCATGTTGGTGGACAGAGTTGTGGAGTGGGGGTGTAAACAATCCAATCAGAACAAACAGGTGAGTGAGTGAGTATCCATAACGTACCCTCAATATTTCATTGCTTATTATCAGTCTCAGTGTGTGTGTGTGTGATATGGTAGTATTACGCCAGCTACACAAAGCAAAGTATGTGTGTGTGTATTCAGTGGGTATCTGTTCTTTATTTATTTGCTTACTTGGCTGGCTCTCTGAAACTATTGTCATTCAGACGGAATGACAAGTGTATGTTACTGGTTGTTGTTATCTATTTTTTTTTTTTTGAAATTTGTAAAAATGTTTATAATGTCATCACAATAATGACTGATGTTATAAAAATTGTAAGGCACTTAGGATTAGATCTGTTTTATGACAAATAGTTGAATTGAACAGAAAATCAATTTTATATTTTGTTCAATGAGAAATATTAACTTATTTTGGAATTTTCAAGAGGGAATACACATCATATATGAGCTAAGTGCAGTGTTTGATAACGTTACAATACAAAATGTGTGCCAGGCATTAACAGTTTTGATCTGAATTTTGACCCTAAGCATATACATTTTTGAAGTTTACCGAGGAGTATATTAGTAAAACCATAGCACAATACCCCCACATCCATTTTTCTGTTCAAAACTATTTCAACGTCTCCATGTGTAAACCCTAGCAACTAATAGTGATCTCAAAATCAATTTTCAGGATTCTAAAGCTATCCCTTCACCCAATATCAAATGTTGTAACATATAGTACATACGCTTAGGATATGCAATCTACATCTCTCCATCCTAGATACCAACAGTGATCCAAATTTAGTACTTTTCATACAATTTTAGTAAAAATTTCCAAAACAACTTCCATATCTCAATTCCAAATACCAAAAGAGACCTCAATATCAAATTTAAGGATTCCAGTCCATGCCCTCACCCACTACCAAATATAAGACGTATTTTCAAACGTACGCCAAATTTCAAATACAGATACCATCAATAATCTGAATATTAAATTTTAGAATTTTTTCTCTATCCCTTCACCCAATACCAAATACAGAACCATACAGGACTTTTATACAATTATTTTTTTATACAATTCCGAATCCGCCTCCATATTTCCAGGCTACACATGAACAGCTAACCTAATACCATATTTCATATTCACCCAATGAAAAATTGTACTAAATATAGTACTATTTAGTACTTTTTTTGCACTTGTAGTACACATTTCCAAAACCACCTTTTTATCACAAACCTACCATTAAAAAGGACTCAAATAAAAATTTTTAAAATTCCAGCTTCATCCTAAACTAAACTGTTCCGAATTTAGTACCATTTAGTACAGATCGCACACTTACTCACATATCGTATACCCCTTCCTTTGGTACATCTATCCTGCACTCCTCATTCCAAAGAATTCTAGCTTATTCCGTTTGTCCAGTACAAAATATTCAATTTTTAGTACATTTTAGTACTACTCCTACCTTTTAGTACAAAGTACAAAAGTACAAAAAAGTCAGACTTAAATTTCAAGATTCGAGTGTTGATTCTTGCTCGGTCGGTCAGTCAGTTATTTGACTACACTTTTACATATATGGATTTAGAGGTACCATTAGAAATGGGCCGATCTCTACCATCGTTGTTGAAAATATTAAAATGTACCAAGTCTGCATGGACTTGTATGTTCATTTTTCGATTTATGACAAAATTTGCAGCAGATCTTTTGTTAATAGAAACAGTGAGATGTTGAAATATGAAGAGAACCGGATACTTATTTCGGAATTCATAATCGTTTTGGTTATTCAAAACTTTAAGCTTTTGTGGTGGAGGTACCAGAAGAAAGGGTCCGATCTCTACCACCTTTTTAACAGATCTTGTGTTGATGGAAATTTTGAGATGTGTCAAGTCTAAATGGAATCGGATGTAGTTTTGGCATTTTATGAGCTCCATGGATATTCAGAAATTTGACCTTTTGTGGGCGAGGTACCAGAAGGAGTCGACCGCTGTATTCCACTGGACCTTGGCTTAATAGAAACATTGTGATGTGTGTAAAAATCGGACTTTTACATCACATTTTATAAGATTTATAATTATTCAGCAGTTTGACCCTTTGTGAAGGAGGTACTTAATGGAAGGACCCGGTATTGTTAATGTTCGCACCTGATCTAGCACTGATGCAAGTATTAGGATTTGATAAGTTGTAGAAAAATCGTTTTATTTTTTTCTCTCTGTGCAGAAAAGTATTTTTTTTAATTTCGATTTTATTTGGGGACGTACCAGAAGGAGTGGATCGATATTTCCCATCTCGAAACTCGATCTAAGTTTGAAGTTTGATGGACCAAATAGGATACTCCGTCATTCCGTTCGGAACCTAGAGTGGTTTCCACAGATGGGCAGACAGGCGGACGGACATGACAAATCGGCATAGAATATTAATTCATCAAGAAAATATATCCCTTGTGGGGTCTAGAATGCTTATTTCGGAATGACAAACCTAATATACCCTCCATATTATTATATGCGGTGGAGTGTATAACAATAATTCTTTTCTATGTACAGTTTTATTCAAGTATTTTTCATCTGAACAAATGTACAGAATACAAATATAACATATAATGTACATGACCCATTATGGTATGAAAGAAGTCGACTTGCATTTTCGTTCAGAGTAAAACATGTTCAGCCATAGCTTTGTATGTGCACATATGTGTGCGGCAGGCATACATAAGAGGATAAGCGTCATCAAATATGTCTTTTGTAATAGAATAGTCTTTTTATACCCTACACCACAAAGTCGTCAGGGTATTATGTCTTTGTGCATTTGTTTGTAACAGGCAAAAGGAAAGGAGATAGACCCATAGTTCCTTTTGATAATCTGCATAGAATCACATTCTGAGTCGATTTATGCATGTCCGTCCGTCCGTCCGTCCGTCCGTCTGTCTGTCCGTCTGTCCATGTATTTTTGTGAACAAAATGCAGGTCGCATTTATTATCCGATTGAGATGAAATTTTCCAAACAACATTTGTTTGGCCCAAAGACGAACCCTATTGAAATTGGAGACATTCGGTAAAAATTTAGATATAGCTCCCATATATATCTTCGTCCGATTTGGCTTTTATTGTGCACCAAGCATGTAATATCAGCGCGAATAGTGTGGAATTTTTGCACATACAACCAAATTGGGCCTGAAAATAAGTATGCCAAATTTGATCGAAATCGGTTCAGATATAGCTATAGCTCCAATATATATTGTTCATCCGATTTGTTATTTTTGTCCTCCGCTGCCGTAATATGCACTCTGTAATAACAATATTTGAGGAAATAAAGCAAATACAGCTCAGAAATACATTTGCTTAATTTTATCGAGATGGGTTCAGATTTGGATATAGCTCCCATATATAACTTCGTCCGATTTACTTTTTTTTGTGAACCAAACGTCTAATATTTGGGATGGAATTTAGCACTTACGACCGAATTGAATCTAGAAGCTAGTATGTCAAATTGGGTGAAGATCGGTTCAGATATAGCTATAGCTCCCATATATATTGTTCATCCGATTTGTTATATTTGTAACCCACAACCGTAATATGCACTCCGTAACAACGATATTTAGGGAAATATAGCAGATACAGCTCAGAAATACATTTGCTAAATTTTATCGAGATCGGTTTAGATTTGGATATAGCTTCCATATATATCTCTATCCGATTTCAAATTAATTGTGCACCAAATGTGCAATACAAGTCCGAATTTAAAAGATACAAATGCTTCGGCATGTTTAGTCCTTTGAACTTTAAATTATAATTATAATCATAGCGTGTATGATTGAATTCTCCCATCAAACTCAAAACACTTTGCTACTATATTAGCAAAGTGCTGTAGGGTATCATAAAGTCGGCCCCGCCCGACTTTAAGACTTTCTTTACTGGCTTGTAATAGAATAGTCCTGGTTATATTTATTTAAAAAAATTGTTGATGTATGTCTATTAATAGTTTTATGATACCTTTGTGAACATTAATGAGGGCTAGGTATATTGTTTTAATAAACAATGGTAAGATCCCTAAATTTCTTGTTGTTTTACAATGGATCCGTATACATTTATTCCATCGAAATCCGTGCTTGATATGTTAACTCTCTCTCTCGTTAGCCCTCTCTTTATACTGTAATGACAAAATTAATGACATGACGAGCACAAACCATCACTCCAAAGTTCAAACATATGGCTTCAGTTTGGTCTGATGTCTATATGTTTTTTTTGTGTAAATATGTAAAATATGTTCTCCATGTATGTTTCTTTGTATTTCAGCTATGCCATTCATACAATGCCTTATGATACACTTTACAGAAGAGCATTGCTTCCTATGTATGTATAAATGAATTGGTATTGTACAATGTTAAACCTATAGGAATAATGTTAGGAGGGGGTGGTGTAAAAGTAGTTTTGTTAAAATGTTTTTTCATATGATTCAGGGTAAACACAAATACAATAACATAACTACATCGATACATATGTACATGCATACGCACACAAGAATGATATAATAAGTTACGTTACGTTTGAGAGGTTACTACTTGCAATTGTTGTTATGATTTAGTGGCTCAACTGTGGAAGCCATAGTAACCGATTTAGGTTATGTTGGAATATAATGACTCATGTGCATGCATATACACATGCATGTATATATATACTATGTGTATATATGTATAATTATAAAAACTTTAAATGTACATAAAAGTACTTAAGAGGAGCCTTGTAACAATAACGATTACAGATTATTTGAATGGGAAGGACTTCTTTTATGGATGTCTTGTAGTTATTACATATGTGGAAGATCCTCAACAATTTATATACCCAATGCACGCATTTCCCATTTTTAGTTCTACTTTCATAATCTGCTGGATTTCCCCATAATTATCGCATAGTCTAATTTTTTAATATTTTTTTATTTTTCCACAGCTCGAATTGCAGCGCCCCAAGAGTGGCGTTTACCTCAACGAAAGTAAACCACCAAATTTTTATCCCACCGATGGTATACCCTACAGTACTTATAATCCGCGAGTCTTACAAAATCAATTCGATCGGCAGCAGTTGAAAAAGATCGACATCATACCGGGCAAAACTACACAAGACTTGTGGACTTGGAATTTGGGACTGCAACAGCGAGAAAGTGATTTGGATAGGCGTTTCATAGAGACTGCAGTGCAAAAATTCGGTAGTGTTATGGAAATTGTATTTAAATACGCAATATATAATATTTAAATTCGCAGATTGTGATAAGTCGGAACTGCTGGTCTATAAGATACCCGATGATTTGGAAAAAACATTTAGAGCCCAAGTTGTATTCGGCTCAAGGGCTCTCAAAATGGAAGCACAACCAGCAAAGAAACAGTAAGTAAGGGGTAGCAAAGTACCTGGAAATACGGGTCGAGGTCATTTTGGGGGACAACTAGTAAATAGGTACTTTAAAATAAAAAATTAAAAAAGGGGTTAAATTCGGCCAGGCCGAACTTTTAATACCCTCCACCATTTTGAAGGGACTTGAAAATTTTGAAAAAAATACCTCTTAAATGAAACCCCTTATATGGGGCTATACGCAGACGTGGTCCTTCATAAGTCACTTTTTGTCATGGGGTGCAACACCGATTTCGAACTTCAAATACGAAATTTGAAACAATTCCTGTGTATAATGCTGCTAAAATCATAAAAAACCGAATATCCATTAACAGATCTTCTGTGGACAGAAATTCTTTAAAAGGTACAGAATTCCTTTAACGGGTCTTCTGGAGACAGAAGTCATTTAATAGGTCTTCTTTTGAAAGAAGTCCCTCAACAGGTGTCCTCGGGAGAGAAGGCCCTTAACAGGTCTTCTGGGGACGGGAGCTCTCTAACAGGCCTTCTGTGGACAGAAGTCCTTTAAAAGGTCTTCTGTTGAGAGAAGTTCTTTAACAGGTCTTCTTTGACAGAAGTACCTCAACGGGTCTTCTGCTGACAGATGTCCCCCAACAGGGCTGTGGCAGGTCTTCGGGGGGCAGAAGGCCTCTAACAGGGCTTCTGTGCATAGAAGTTCTTTAATAGGTCTTCTTTTGACAGAAGTCCCTCAACAAGTCTTTTGGGGACTGAAGGTTTCTGACAGTTCTTGTGCTGACAGAAGGTCTCTAACAAATCTTCTGTGGGCAGAAGTCCTTGAATAAGTTTTCTGGGAACAGAAGTCCTGCAAAAGATTTTCTGTTGGCTACAGATCTTCAGATCTTCTTGGGACAGAAGGCCTCTAAAAGGCCTTCAGTGGACAGAAGTCATGTAATAGGTCATCTTTTAAAGAAGTCACTCAACAGGTCTTCTGGGGACAGAAGTCCTTTAAAAGGTCTTCTTTTGTCAGAAGTTCTTTAACTGGTCCTCTTTTGACAGAAGTCTCTCAATGGGTCTTCTGGGGACAGAAGGTTTCTGACAGATCTTGTGCTGACAGAAGGTCTCTAACAAATCTTCTGTGGACAGAAGTCCTTTAGTAAGTTTTCTGGGAACAGAAGTCCTTCAAAAGATTTTCTGTTGGCTAGAGATCTTTAGCAAGTCTTCTGTGGAAAGAAAACTTTTTAAAAGCCTTCATTGGACAAAAAGTCCTTTAACGGGTCTTCTGAGGACTAAAGGCCTTTGACAGGTCTTCTGAGGATAAAAGGCCTTTAACAGTACTTCTGGGGACAGAAGTCCTTCAAAAATTCTTCTGTTGGCCTTCCTTGAACAGAAGTCTTTTAACAGGTCTTCTGAGGACAAAGGGCCTTTAACTGGTCTTCTATGGACAGAATACCTGTAAGGGGACTTCTGTGGACAGAAGTCGACTAACTGGCCGGACCGAACTTTAAATACCCTCCACCATTTTTAAGGAACGTTAAAATTTTTAGAAAAAAAATCCGTAGAAAAATACTTTTTAAATGAGACCCCTTATATGGGTGCTATAGTCCTTCATAAGTAGTACCGATTTCGGACTTAAAATACGAAATTTTAAAAAATTCTGGTGAATAATTCCGCTAAAATCAACAAAATACCAAATATCGGGAGGTTATACGAACATGTAATATGGGGGTTGTACGAAGACGTAGACGTGCATAGACAAATTTTTGTCAAAGGTTGTAGTACCCATTACAAACTTAAAATACGAAATTTAAAACAATTCCGGTAAAAAGTGTCGCTAAAATCATCAAAATACCGGATTTCAGGAGGTATCGTTTTATGGGGGCTATGCGAAGACGTAGACCTGCATTGACAAGTTTTTGTTGCAGTTGGTTGTAGTACTCATTACGAACTTCAACTACGAATTTTGAAATAATTCTGATGAATAATGCCGCAAAAATCACCAAAATGCCGAATATCGGATGTAACATATGGGGGTTATATGAAGACCTGCACACGCGATTTTGTAGTACCCATTGCGAACTTTAAAAAAAAAAATTGAAACAATTCAGATGAATAATGCCGCAAAAATCATCAAAATACCGAATATCTGGAGGCATCGTTCCATACGAAGTTCCGAATTGCATAAGCAATTTTCCGTCAGAGGCTGTAGTACCCAATACGAACTTCAAATACGAATTTTGAAACAATTCTGGTAAATAATGCAGCCAAAATCATCAAAATACCGAATATTGAGAGGTACCGTTATATGGGGGCTATACGAAAACGTGGACCGACACCGAACATAACCTGTCTACTAGCAAAATACACATGTGTGCAAAATTTTAGTCTTCTATCTCAATTCGTTGGAAAGATAATGTGTTGGGTCTGACATGAGTATTTCGGGGAGTTACAAACGGAATGACAAAGTTAATATACCCTCAATAGTGGAATGGAGGGGATAAAAATGTTAAAAAAATAAACATTTTGAATAAATTCCGAGGTCCTGGGCTTCCACCCAGCGTAAGTCCCTGAGAATAAAATATTTAATTTCCAAACAATAGGTCCATTTATTACCTTTTGGTGCCAGTAACTACTTACGTATCTGCCCTAACCCCTTAATTTGAAATTGACAGAATGATAATGACCGCTCACCTTCTGCATTACCAGGATTCTATAAAATAATGACAACAACAATACTTCTGAACCACCAATACGTCCAAAAATAATGACATTACCAAATGAGGGTTTAGAAGGTAAATAGTTACCAATACCATAGGGTACTTACTAAACACATTACTTGGTAATCAGTTTTTTTTTGCTGAGTGGTCCATGTAACTACTAAATTTTTCTGGTATATTAAAATGTTTGGTTTCCTAATTCAAAACTTCATTAAGAAATCTTTCTATTCCACTTTCCACTTCAGAACATTCAATCGCCCCAAAGAAATGGCATGTCTCTATGTGGCCTTTGTGGAAAGTTTCCGTTTAAACTCGGACTTCTGGACCTGTGAAACGTTGGACTACATTTTGAAAATGGGCGAAAAGCTAATTGTCAAGAGTCACAAAATGAACTACAAAAGTCCGAACAGTGATTACGATATAATACCGCAAGTGGTGGAGCGCCAGGCAGAAGTTGGTCTAAAACTGCATTTCAATGGGACGCTGAAGGGTGAACCGAATATTTACAAGGCCTTGAGTTTGTATTTCAACAAATACAATGCCTGTGTGGTGTGCTTGTCGAACATATATCTGCTGATACGCAAGAGATGCAAAAACTCCTATTACATTTTCGATCCCAATGGCAGGGGAGAGGATTGTGCAAGAGATTCCGTTGGGGGCAAATGTGCTCTGATGCTGACCAACTTTGTTGAACATTTGGTCCATTTGGTGGTGAACCTCAGTGAGGCTGCCAGTATGGGCGAGGAGTTTCATTTGTATGAAATAAGTTTGGTAAATTTTGGCAAGATTAGTGAACCTTTGGCCCGGCGACCCTTTCCCAAAAGGTTCCATAAAATGTGGACTGTGGTGAATGAGAGCTATGCCTTAATTCCGGGCTGTAACAATGGCCTGTTTCCACCCACCTCGGGTGTGATACCGAATGCCTCAATGTTGATTTCCGTAATGGCCATATTGTATAGCTTAATTGAACGACCCATGGACTGGACCTCGGACTCGGTGGATGAGCTGATACGCCTGGGCACGGCTTATTACAAAAGTTTGAGGAGAAAACTAAAGCTAAAGGATAATCAACAGATAAATGTCACCGATTTGCCAGATAAATATGTTTTGGGCACATTTAAGGCCTCGCTGAAGAAGGCTCCATTTTTCTACACTGGCACAGTTTCAGATTATTGTAAAAAGTTTCAGGATTCCCTGCTGGCTTGTGGCCTTGAGGCTTTATTCGGGGCCCAGTGGGAGGGAGCTTTAATACAAATCGACAATTGCGTGGTGGCAGCTTGGCGGGATGGCGAGCTATTTTATATCTATGATCCATTTCGTCGCGACAAGGTGGGCCATGTTTTGGATCCCGAGGATTACATGTCCAAAGGTTATGCCGTCCTGCAAATGCACTCAAATAAGGACTCCTTTTTGAAACACCTCCATGAAAAGTCTTTGAAAATGCGCAATGGTGGAAAATTGTTTTTGCATGCCATCAATGTGGGTTGCATCAAGCCCATAATGGATGGCAAGGTGCGGAAGCTGAGATATCCAAAACTTAAATTGACTCCCGAAACCTATGCCAAGGAAAATGGGAGGGAGGGCAATGAAGCAGAAGGGGCGGCCGGAGATCAATTGGCCCAAGTAGACAACCAAACCGGGGGAGAGGAGGGAGGCGAGAAGAAAACCAAGAAACCCAAAAAATCCAAAAAGGATAAGAAGGACAAAAAGAAGTTGGAAAAGGTCTGCAGCATTGAATCGCTGAAGGAGCACGAACGCCTACCCCTAATGGATGATAATGAAATCATTGAAAGCCTGGCCCAGCGAATTGTGTGTGAAATAGTTGACTCCCTACCCGAATCCGCAGTAGATAGACCTAAATTGTATAAACCGGCTGCCCAGGTCCTCTTGAGGTCTGACAAACAGTACCTGGAACAATTGGAATACATGGTAAGACATGATCAGGATTATGATAATGTCAATGCAGCTTTTCCCACACAACCACCCGCTGAAAGCCCCACCATAACCCTGGAAGAGGAATTGGCCAGTCCCAGTAATTTCCACAGCCTGCCCGAAGGTACCTGGATAATTCTGGGTTCCCAAAAGCAGCCACGTTTGCATGAAGAACAGGCCAAGGTGAAGGGGTTGTTGTCCTGCCTTGTGACCCTTGGTCTTACGGCACGCTATAAAATATCCTCCTGGACAGCGGAGCTAATAGATTATGCCCTCAGGGCCACGGAGAAGTTTGAGGAAGATCTACAAACCTATCAGTATCTGCTGGGAGCGGTTTTATCAATGAAAGTGCCCTCGCTGAGTTTGGGCCAGCGTAGCTATGAACTAAAGGTGGAGAAAATAATTAAATCCGACCTCAGCAAACCCCTGCGGCAGGTCCTGCTCGATTGTTTGATAAACTATAATCGTATCCTGGTCATATGCCAGCAATTCAGCTGTGCCCTGATAAAACGCTACAACTTCCTTTACATGTTTGTCGGTTATCCAGTCAACCAGGTTGGCTATCGCCAATTCAAGAGGGGGCCGGCATGTTTGCTAAGATCCGTAGAGCTGGACTCGCTAATAAGGCGCATAGAATACGGCTGTAATCCCCAGGGCTGCGATGTAACCAATTATGTGGTCATCCCTGTTAAGGTATATGACATCACGCCCGAGGAAATTGGGCGCTATCGGCCATGGCCAGCCAATGTGGAGCAGCGTATGTATCGCCAGGCATTGAAGGAACAACAACGCCGAGAGCAAAGTAAAAAGTCCAAATTGGAATTTTTGGAAAATGAATTGCTCGTGGAAAGGGAACGTTTGGAGGAGTTCCAAGAGGCCAAGGCCCAAGCCAAACAAAAAAAAGTCAAATGGCCTCGAAACAAAGAAACCTCTGCTGAAGCATCTTCGGAAGATGATCACACTGTGGTGGCAGATAATGAATATGACGATGAAACCCCTACAGATTTACCACCCAAACACCAGTTCGGCTCCAAACTTCCACAACAACGTGAGGAATCTCTCCCTCAACCCCTACTCTATGGCTACCACCTGCGTCACAAAGATTATCTCTTCAAAATACAGGGCAGTAAATTCCTGGAGGGTCGTGACGAATGTCTTTGGGATCAAATAAAACCCTGTTTCTTTGCCAGCACCCTGTCCATACTCTACGCCATTCTCAAGCCCCACAATCAATGGACCGCACAGCGCATAGATCAAGTAATCGATTCCACGCGGATTCTTTGTGATGCCATTGACGATTTCTCCAATTCTTCGGAGAGAATTGTCAAAAATATTTCCGTCGAGGATTACACCTTTGACATATGGATAAAGATTTTTGAACCTCTAGGTCTTATTGGAGACCTCGGGCAGCAAATTGAGAGAGCCACCAAAGCGCGGAAGTATCTACTGATCCACACTGCAAATTCTAGCTATGCCATATGTCGCGATGTTCATTTCCATTTATTTGATTCGTACTCCTCAATGCATGTCCTGGATAATATGCCACGAAGTGACATCGTGGATGAGGAGGATGGAGAGGGGGAGGAACGTAGTAGGCGAAAGAGATTCAAGGCGATGAAAGGTGTTAAACGTTATCCGGAACGTAATACTGCTTCGTGGATTCTATTTGCCGATATCAAGTCCCTGGTGCATTATATGGATCAAAGGGCCTGCAGTCCGACGTGGAAAGAGGACGGGGAGTATTCATTTTTTGTAAGTTATATTCAATCGGAAATATTTTCTATAGACAAGAGATCTTTGAGGGTCTTCTGGGCCTACACAGATCTATTGGGACCTTTAAATGATTTTTGGGGTCTCTAAAAGGGTAGAAGGTCTCTAAAAGGTTATGATATTTAACAGGTCTTCTGGCAACAAAAGGCCTTTAACAGATCTTCTGGGGACATTAGGCCTCTAACAAGTCTACTTTTGATCAGAGACCCACAACAGGACAAAAGCCTCTAACAGGTCTTCTGTGGACAGAAGGCTTCTAACAGATCTTTTGTGGACAGAAGTCCTATAAAAGGTCTTCTGGGAACAGAAGTCCTTTAACAGGCCTATCAGTATCTGCTGGGAGCGGATACTCTGGCCAGAGAGTTTCAGCAAGCCTCCTTCAAAACGTCTTCTTGGGACAGAAGTCCTTTTTTTCTGGGGACAGAAGTCCTTTTAGAGGACCAGTTGAAGGACTTCTGTTCCCAGAAGACAGAAGTCCTTTTTTTCTGGGGACTTCTGTCCTTTCAACGGAAGTCCTTGAAAAGGTCTTCTGGGGACAGAAGTTCTTTTTTTCTGGGGACTTCTGTCCTTTAAACGAACTTCTGGGGATAGAAGTCCTACAAAACGTCTTCTTGGGACAGAAATCTTCCAAAAGATCTTCTGGGGACAGTCCTCTCAGAGGTCTTCTGGGACAGAAGTCCTTTAAAAGGTCTTCTGGGGACAGAAGTCCTTTAAAACGTTTTCTGTGGATTGAAGACCACAAATAGGTCTTCCGTTGGCCAGAGATTTTTAGCAAGCCTTCTGTGGAAAGAAAGCTTTTAGCAAGTCTTCTGTGTCTTCTGTGGACAGAGGTCGATTAATAGGATTTTGGATGACGGAAGGCCTTAAATAGATCTCTACAGGCCCCTAACTTGTTTTCTGTGGACAGAAGTCCATTAACAGGTCTTTCTGTCAGTAGGAGACCCTTAAAAGTTCTGCTATACACAAAAAGCCTTTAAGAGATCTCCTGTAGACAGAAGCTTTTTAGCAGGTTTTCCATTGGGCAGACTCCTCTAACTGTGTTTCTGGGACAGAAGGCCTTTTAGGATCGTACGGTCTTTAAATGGTCTTCCGTGGACAAAAGGCCTTTAACAGCTCTCCTATGGAGAGAAGACCTTTAACAGCTCTTCTGTGGACAGGTAGTTGCCTTTCACAGCTCTTCTGTGGACAGGTAGTTGCCTTTCACAGGTCTTCTGCCGATCTATTCAGATATCACAATTCACAAAAACTTCTGATTTCTTTTAGGTCGTCGACATCATCTCCTACAAGAAATCTCCTCTCACAGCGAACATACTTCAACTGCTAACAGGAGTGGATGCCTGCAACATTCCCGGCGAGGAGGAAGCGGCAATATGTGCCCACAACGAAACCCCTGCCTGGCTGGAACATTGCCTACCCATTTGGAGTCGTTTGAATCGAAGAAATGCCGCAGGGATATATCGCGGAACAGCCGTGTCGAAATATAAGAAATTTGATATTGAAATTGAAAATCGCCTGTGGTCCCTTTGGGGTAATTTACATCCTCAGGCCCCGGTGTTTGATAGTAAAAATCGTGGTAAACAATATTTGGCCTGTTGTGTTATGGCCTTGTGTGCGGCTCGACTATATCGCCTGGCCGATTGGAGTTCTCAACTTATGGATGCGATTATCATCAATGGGGATCGGTATCACGAGCAGAGTATTGCCGACATTAAGATACGCGACTATGAAATGCGTGCCGAAGATCTGGATGTTGAATGCCGGCTGGATAATGTAAAATTTTCGGTCCACATTGAGCCACTGTGCTATGGCCAATTGTACTGCCGACCCAATTTCAATCGTATGAATTTAGCCGAGGCTCTGATGTACTTCTTCAACACCCACCACCAATTTGGTTTGTTACAATGCTCGAAGAAATGTCTGGCTTTTGGTCGCCTGCCCGGTCATGATGGTGGCTATTTTATGTTCGATTGTCAGAGTCGTGAACATCCGCTGTTTCCCAAGGGCCAAGGGGCCGCCTATGTTTTGCGTACAAAATATTTACAAATTTTACTCTACTGTCTCGTGGTCACTCTGAATATTCCCTATTATAATGTCCAATTTATGCTGCACAGAGTTGAGACGCTGCCGGAGAATACATCCGTGGAGGATGACGATGGACGAGGTAGCTCAAGGGCTAGTCAATGAGGGGTTATATCGAATGTGTCAATTGTGAGAAAATTTTATGTTTAAATAAAAATTATTGAATGTCGCCTCACAATTTAAAAAAAGCAAAAAAAGAAAATACTTTCAACCGGGCCGAACTTTTTAATACCCTCCACCATTTCGAAGGAAATTGAAAAATTAAAAAAAAAATCCGAAAACAACCACTAAATGAAAACCGTGATATGGAGGCTATACGAAAACGTGGACCTGCACAGACAATTTTCTGTCTTAGGTTGTAGTACCCATTAGGATCTGCCATTACAAAATTTTAAACGATTCCGGTGAATAATGTTGCTGAAATCATTAAAATACCGAATATCGGGAGGTACCGTTATATGGGGGCTATACGAAGACTTGGACCTTGCCAAAATTCAGACTTTCATCTCCTCTTCTTTGCACTTGGTACCTTTTAGTACGAAAAAGATATAATATTTTAAATCAACTTTTGTTCAGATTTAACTACGACATAACTTCGTACCAAATTTTAGAATTCAAATTCTTACCTTGTAATATTTAGTACCTTTTTGGTACGAATTTTCAAAAAAACTGCTTTATCTTATGAAACTTGATCCTCTTGCTGGAAAAGAACAAAATTGTTGGTTAAAAAGCATAGTTTTTAGTATTCCCCGGGATTTTTTGATTTTAGTTCTCTTTTGGTACAAATGCCCGTACTACGTACCGTTTTAGGTATTTTTGCAGCTGAAGTGACCCTCATGACATATTTCAGACATTTAGCTCTTCTTATTAGCTTGTAGTACCATTGGTGTCAAAAATACAATTTATCATATCGAAATTCGTACTTTGTACGAAATTCGTATTTAGCTAGACAATTTTAGTACTTTTTTGCACGAACTTTAAATTCCTCCCCATCCAATCCAAGTACCAACTTTAAGATCCAAAATAGAGTTCTAAGTAGTAGTAGTAGTTTTTAGCACAATTTTAGCACGAATTTTTAAATGAACTGCTCTTTTCGGCCACTTCATCCCGTAAGGGGCTTTCTTGTCCTATTTCGAAACCATGGCGCTAATTATCCATATTTGGTACTTTTGGTACCCTTTTTAAGTACAGAAGAGGTAATATTTATTAAAATCAAAATTTCGCAGAAAACCTTAATTTCGCTGGAGAAAACTATGTCCCAAGTTTCAAACCTCCAATTTTAACCGTGGGATAAAAAAAAACTGCAAAAAAGTCAAACGCCATAATTTTTAAATTTTTTTCTAAATTTTATTGAATGAAAGCAAAAAAGGTCGGAAATAGCATCAAATTTTAGAATAAGTTTAGATTTGTTCGAATTGGTGACCTTTGGCACGAATTAAGGCCTTCAAACATCCAATGAAACCGTCACACGCTGTTCGAATGTTGCTCTGCGGTATTTGGCCCATTCCCGGCGAAGCGCTTGCTTGAGGTGAACGACACTTTGGTATTTTTTAGTGCCAACCTTGCTTTCCAAAATACTCCAGACACAATAGTCCAACGGATTGGTATCCGGAGATTTTGGTGGCCATTGTGCGTTGGAAATGAAGCGAGGAACCTCATTTTGCAACCATTCTCGGGTGGCGCGTGCTGAGAGCGTTGGTGCTGACTCCTGTTGGAATGTCCAAGGTCTGCGGCCAAAATGTTTGCGTGCCTAAGGCTTTAATACGCCCTCCAGAATATTTCGACGATAATATTCGGCATTTATTCTGATGCCACGGTCGATTAATACAAGCGGAGAGCGACCATCGGTTGTTATGGCGGCCCACACCATTACCATGGCCGGCGCTTGAGTTCTGGTGGCCAACCGATGGTGCACATGTTCAGCTGACCTCTTTGACAAGTAAACACGATCATTTAGTTCGTTTACAAACTGCTGGACAACGAATGTTTTCTCATCGGAGACGGAGAAAACCAAATTCGGCAGTTCACCACTTTCGGCCAAGCGAAGCAACTCTTTACCACTTTTGAGTCTATATTCTTGCTGTTGCGGTGTAAGTTCTTGCACTTTACCCCGAGCTCATTTTTCAATATTTGCCCAATGGAATATAGCGATATGTTCAGCTGACGAGCCATTTTTCGGCCACTGCGACGCGTCGCTTTTTTACTTTTCGAACCATTTCTGCTGATGTTGCTGTTTTCTTCCGTCCACTTCCTTGTCGTCGGGCTACGCTACCAGTATCACGACGATAACAAGCGATTGTACGAGACACAATAGACTTATTCACATTTAAATGCTGGAGTGCTCTAACGATAGCCACTTGTGGTTTTCCAGCCGAATATAAAGAAATCACACTATCACGCTTGAAATCCATCACGTATAACTTTTTTTTCTGGAAAATTCTCACCAAAATGCTTTTATATGCTTGTAAACAATACAGTGAGCTGTCACTGGAATAATTTTAACAGCTGTCGGACGAGTGGCTTAGAAATGACAGCAGTCTGAAGTTGGTTATAGTTTTTTTTAATGTCACGCTGTATAACAAAAAATAACAAAACCGCACCATTTTGTACAATTTTGTACCTTTTTGTGTTATTTGTATCTTTATAGTACGAATTTCCAAAAATCCTGTCTCCTGTTCAAATAGTGGTCCTCAGGAAAAATTTAAGACTCTTACTGCCTTATTTCTTTAACAATATTGTACAATATTTTTTTTACATTTAGTACTTATGGTACTCTTAAAGTACGAATTTCCAAAAAGTGTACTCTTTTCCACTGGAGAGTGATTCTCATGGAAAATTTGAAAGTTTATCTCCTACCAATCGATTAATTACGCCATTATAATTTTTTTAACTTTTAGTACCTTTTGTACTCCTAAGGTACAAAATACCAATATCTGTCCTTATCTCAATTCGTTACACAAAGAACTCGAAAATTCCCAAATATTAACTCATCAACTGCTTTATTGTGACAATGTACCATTTTGTACTGTTTCGTACTTTTTGTACCCTTTAAGTACGAAGTACCAAAAATCTCGCTTAAGACAGAAGTATTGTCCATGTCCAGATTTTAAAGTTTTAAAAACACTCGAATGCTTAATATTAACTTGGTACCATTTGGAACGTTTTAGTACCTTTTTACACCTTAAGTGGGAAGTGGCAAAAATCTTTCTTATTTCATCATTCTGCAGAAAAAAAGTGGCCGCCCTATGCAAAATTTCATAGTTCCAACCACTTAATAATGATGTTGTACCAATTAGTAGCTTTAAGTGTCCATAAAGTACGAATTTCTAAAAAATCAGATATTTCATAGCTCTACCTTTTACCTGTCGCTCAACAATTATGTCGTATCGTTTTGTAACATTCCTAGGTTTTTATATCCCTAGAATGCGAATTTCCAAAAAATCCCCCTTATTCCATCCCGTTGCCTTTTCAAAACTTTGGCTGTTACCAATCACTCAATAACAATTCTCTACAATGTTTTTTTTTTAAGTCGATTTAACGATGTCCGTCTGTCTGTTGAATTCATGATACAGCCCACATTATTTGACGTAGAGCGCCAAAATTTAGCAGAGCAATTTGTATCGGTACCTCCCGATATTCGGTATTTTGATGATTTATGCCACATTTATTCACGGATTTGTCTGAAAATTGGTATTTGTAGGTCATAATGGGTCCCTGTACGTGTGGCGAGACATTGCATGTATAGGTCCACGCTTTGGTATAGCCCCCATATAAAGGTACCTCCCGGTATTCAATACTTTGATAATTTTTGCCACATTTATTCACTGATTTGTCTAAAAATTGGTATTTGTAGGTCATAATAAGTCCTAGTTCGTGTGGCGAAACATTGTATGTATAGGTCCACGTTTTGGTGTAGTCCCCATGTAACGGTACCTCCCGATATTCGGTATTTTAATGATTTTTGGCACATTTTTTCACGAATTTCTCTGAAAATTGGTAGTTGTAGGTCATAATGGGTCCCAGTTCGTGTGGCGAATCATTGTAATTATAGGTCCACGTTTTGGTATAGTCCTCATATAACGGTACCTCCCGATATTCGGTATTTTGATGATTTATGCCACATTTATTCACGGATTTGTCTGAAAATTGGTATTTGTAGGTCATAACGGGTCCCTGTACGTGTGGCGAGACATTGCATGTATAGGTTCACGCTTTGGTATAGCCCCCATATAAAGGTACCTCCCGGTATTCAATACTTTGATAATTTTTGCCACATTTATTCACTGATTTGTCTAAAAATTGGTATTTGTAGGTCATAATAAGTCCTAGTTCGTGTGGCGAAACATTGTATGTATAGGTCCACGTTTTGGTGTAGTCCCCATGTAACGGTACCTCCCGATATTCGGTATTTTAATGATTTTTGGCACATTTTTTCACGAATTTCTCTGAAAATTGGTAGTTGTAGGTCATAATGGGTCCCAGTTCGTGTGGCGAATCATTGTAATTATAGGTCCACGTTTTGGTATAGTCTCCATGTAACTGTACCTCCCGATATTTGGTATTTTGGTGATTTTTGACACATTTTTTCACGAATTTCTCTGAAAATTGGTATTTGTAGGTCATAATGGGTTCTTGCTCCTTTGGCGAAACATTGCATGTATAGGTGCACGATTGGGTATAGCCTCATATAGCCGTATTTCCCGATATTCGGTATTTTGATGATTTTTGGAACATTTTCCCATGAATATTTCTAAAAATTGGTATATGTGAGTGATAATTCTCTAATGTTTCCTTTACCCTAGGGTGGAGGGTATTAAAAGTTTGGCCCGGCCGAACTTAATGTTTTTATACCCTACACCACATAGTGGTCAGGGTATTATGTCTTTGTGCATTTGTTTGTAACAGGCAAAAGGAAACGAGATAGACCCATAGTTACTTTTGACGATCTCCATAGAATCACTTTCTGAGTTGATTTATGCATGTCAGTCCGTCTGGCCGTCCGTCCGTCTGTCCGTCCATGTTTTCTTGTGAACAGAATGCAGGTCGCATTTATTATCCGATTGAGATGAAATTTTGCAAACAACATTTGTTTGGAATTGAAATTGGAGATAATCGGTCAAAATTTAGATATAGCTCCCATATATATCTACGTCCGATTTGCCTTTTATTGTGCACCAAACGTGTAA